GGGGCGCCCTTACCGGCCCCGCCGCCGTTAGCGGCCCCGCCGCCGGGCGGGCCAGCCCGCTCGGTAACAACGCGGCGCCGCCGAGGAGCCCCGCGGCCTTTGAGCGCGCGAGGACGAGCGCGTTTCCCTCAGAGAAACGCCTACCCTCCTGCAACACGCAACTAAGAACCCGCGCGAAGAGCAGCTCTCAACGGCGGGCTTCAAAGGGAGCCTTTCCCTGCTCACGGGAGCACCTTGCTGAGGCTCTCAGACTCAGAGAGAGGCCGATGCTGCTCTTAAAAAGGGCCAGGCTGTGAGTAAGAAGGCACCTCTTCGCCGGCAGAGCAGTTTTGGTCTCTAAACTGCCACAGCACGGTTATAACCATGCTCTGCTCCCAGCCAAGCACCCCCTGCGCTATCTGTGGGGCAGGCAGCTGAGGCCCCACAATTGCACCCTGCAAGGGAGGGCACGGTGAACTGCTTCACTTTGTTGCCCGCACAGGGGGATTAAGCAGCATCTTTTGGGGACTCCCCTGCGGCTCCAGGACGGCACCGAAGGCTGTCGCTTCAGTTGGAATGAGCGCACAGGCTGGGGCGCGCTGGGCTGGAAGCGTCACCCACACGGTGCCAGCCCTGCGGAGCTGGCGTCTGCCATTCCCCATTCTTCCAATCTGGCTGACAGCGCCCTGGGGATGTCCTAAAGGGCACATAGTGAAGGAAGATGGTGCAGAAAGGCCTGATCCAGGGGCATTTGATGATCTCCATGTCCCCACCAAGACCTGTGGCCTGGGGTCCACGTGCCAAACCACAACAAGGCCAAAATGGTCACGCCACAGCTCACCTGCACTGCACCCTCATAGGCATCATCTCAGCCTGTTTGCGAACTATGCTAGGTTTAAGTGCTAGAAGGCAGAAAAACAGAGGGATAAAGTCCATTCTTGTCCCACAGATGGAGCAGCTAAAATGAAACCTACCTTGCTCTCTTTTCCCTGACTCACGTTGTCCCTGGACAAGGGTAAGTCCTCCAACTATCCCTGCTGAAAATCCATGACTGCTGGTAGAACTGAATTAGGAGACAACAGATAGGACAAGATGAGTGTTAAAAATAAGCAAGGACTTTGACCAAATCAGGCCCTGAAAAATCCTAGTAAAATAATTAATTAGAAAAGCATTGTAGCAGAACTCCAGATTCACTTGGACACAAAGCAAGTGGGTTTTCCTTACTTGGTGTGCCAAAAACCATCATCAAGTGCTACAATCTCTTCCCCAGCGTGCCAAAAATATCATGCAGCATTTGCAACCACAAAGCTGCTTGCTGT